GTAACCTAACACTTTGATTGTCAAATAGCAAAGTGACAAATACGCCCTGCTGGCTTATTTTATTGGTCTAAAAGGGAAGCCTAATTTACAGTACTGGGATCAAAGAGTCGCTTCTACACAATCATTAACTACTCCATATCAGGCATGCTGCTAGAGCCAACTGGAAATAGTGGCAAATTGGACACTTTTTCTCAATCCACAGTGCTGAGACAGAAGATGAGGTTGCTGAGACAGTTATTAAAGTGTGGGAGGATAGAGAGGAAGGGGTCGGGGTGGGGGGTGAGAAACAGATCAGAGTGTGGAGGTGGATAGAAAGAGATTGGAGGAGGAGGAGAGAGAGGCATTGATGGGTGTGGGGAGAGAGGAAGACGGAGAGAGGAACTGGAATGAGAGAGTCAGGGATTGGAGTATGACAGATGAATCGGAGTATTAAGGTATCTGCGTGTGGGAGAGAGGGAGGGAAAGAGGGATTAGAATGTGAGGAGGGAGTGAGAGAGGGATGGAACCATGGGGGGCACAGGGGAATCAGAGTGGGGAGAAAGAGTCATGTCAGAGTGTGGGCAAGAAGGAGGATCATGGTATGAGAGAGGGAGGGGAATCACAGTTTGGGATAGAGAGAGGAATTGGGGTGTGAGGGAGAGAGAGTGGATCTTGGTGTGGAGGAGGGGTCAGGGTGTAGGTGAGATGTTGGAATATGGAAGAGGGGACTGGGTGTAAGAGGGAGGAACAGTGTGAGGGGGGTTTCGGTGTGGGAGAGGGGGGTGGGGTGTGGGGGGCAGTTCAGGGTGGGGGAGAGCGGGTCAGGTTTTGGGAAATGAGAGATGACCAGAAGCTCGAGTCATGATTGTGGACAGAATTTAGTTGTTCCATAAAGTGGTTACTTAATCTGTATTTGGTCTCCTTAATGCAGAGTAAACCACACTGTGAACAGTGAATACAGTTGACTAAATCAAGTGCGAGCAAATCACTGTTTCATATGGCAGGAATGATTTGGTCCCTGGGTGCTGAGATGCAAGAAAATAAATTTAAATGGGATGGGGCTTGGATATTTGGGGTGTTTAAGGAGTGGACTAGAGTGTTGCAGAGGAAACAGCCCCTCTCGACTACTGAGAATAGGCAATGGCAGGCGAAGGTGTGTCATGCTAGAGGTGTGGAAATGATTGAAGATGATGGGCTGAATGCAGAAGGCGGTGGAGTGTAGGGTTAGAGCAATGAGTTGTGTTACAGTCGTTCAGTGGTGTATTGGAACATGCAGTGAGTTGAAATCCTCCCTCTCTCCTGCATGATTTGATGACATGAAATGCTGCACTTTTTGCTGGACTGCTAGCTACTGAAACCGAGGGAACATCGGCAGCAGGACTCAGGAGCGGTGGAGCTGCTGTTGAACTGATTCACTGCTGCATTGCTGGTTACAGGGACATATTGAAGCTGATTTGTTAATTATCTCACTTCATGTTGAGGATTAGAAATTCCCAGGTAGTGAGAATGCCCAAAGGAAGAGAGGAGTATTCCACTCTCAAAACCACAGGCGGCAGAGGATTTTAAAGTATGTTTTTTAATCACATCGAGCTATCTCAGAAATTCGTGTGGATGTCGGGAGCTGGAGGCTGTCTAGTACCTTCACGGGCCAACAGATCTTGTGTGTTTAACTATTCTGCTGGCTGGAGCCTCTGGAGCCTAACTCAGTAAAATCCTAACCCCAAGGTAATTACAGTTATTTGTTATATTTGGTTCCACTTCTTCCCAAGATATCGTACAAAGCTTTGGAAAATATGTAGCACATCACTTTTGGTTTTGACAGCATTGCATTAATTGAAATTGCAATAGGAAGGAGCAGTTAGAATAATATGCAGTTACTTCTAATTATGCAGAGTTACACTGTTGCTAGTTACTCTGATTTCTTTAATTACCTTACATACTAATACATTTCAGTCGCAGGGCCTCCTTTAGTGTAGTTTTCAATTTGATTTCTACGTTTTTCCCCCCTGAGCTCTCTGGAGTAATGTATTGTTCCATTAGCCTGTCTGAACGTATTATTCAAACTGTTATTCAGACTGTGGGTATTTTATCATCCTTGTGACTCACTTTATCCAGGAGTTTCCAGTGTATAAACTCCACTTGTTCATGAGAGGTAGTTCCAGAGATGTACAAATGTTTCTCTATGTGATGCCTGATTAATATCATGGATTGTCCTCGAACAAATTTTAGTTTTACAAGAAGGAACGGTGTGATTTTAAACTAATGCGGTGGAAAACTGATGGGATTGGATCCACTTATTTTACAAACCGATTGGTTTCGCTCTCTGTTTACATACTAGGTAAAATCTGGCAAAAGTACAGTCTCACTGGCTGTATATGGAGACTGTTAAACAGCAAGATGAAGTTCCCCAGTTTATATATCCCACTGGTCCATTACAGAACTGTACTTTCAGTTAACGATTAAGGATAGAATGGTTTAAAAATGATTGTGGAGTGAATGAGCATCAAGTATTGCAATAATTTCATCTATAATGTGCATTTATATCATGTCTTTAATATTGAATTAAATCCCAAGTAGACAAAAATAATTAAAATAATCCAACCTAATTGGCAAAAGAATTTCAGGGACGATTAGGATGTTAAAAAAATGCAGTAAGTTGTTGTGATCTGAAGTGCATTGCGTCAAGATTGTTGGCAGCAGATTCTATCATAATTTCCAAAGTGGAATTGGATAAATACTTGGCGAATACTTTGAGAATGAGTGGGAGAGTGTGACTAATTGATTGGACACATTTTCAGAGAGCTAATGTTTTCCCCAATCCTATAGTATTCTGTGATCCCAACAAATGGTAATATTGGATCAGTCTGACCCCAGAATGAAACCTAGCTTGATAGATCATAAGTTTTACTTTTCCTGTTTGGTTACCATGGTGGTTAGTCATTGATTATCTTGACATGAGGCTACCAATATTCTTCAACAGAGTAACTGACGTTTATTACTTAGAAAAGGAAGAAAAAACTATGTGCATATGACAGTTTAGAAAGGTTTTAACATAATCAGCAAAAACAAATAATCAACCTTTTCCCACAGCATTATCACTTATTAGATATTCAGTCCCAATAAAGCATCACTGCTATCTTAACTCTTTAATTTCTTACTTAACTGTCTCTTTCTTTTTTAATGGCCTAAAGACTGAGAGCCTGGGTTTTTTCTTCTGTTCTGACAGCTGGGAGATTTCTATAAACTCTCAAAATGTGGTGAATCTACAAACTAACGAACTGCTAAGATGAAGATGTTGTTCTGAACTAAAACCTGATTCTTCTGAGCTATTAGTTTCTCTGGACCATTTGTTTTTCTGTATGTCATAAAACTCAACATTGTAAACGTTCAATCAATTAACTCCATTGTTATTTTGCTAACTTAGGTCACATGCTTTCTTGGACATAATGTTTTTAGTTCACTTATCCAAATTACTTTCTGATCCCTTTTAAAAAAAAGCCATCATCTTCACAGAACTGATGACAAAAAATAATTTGCCTCTACGTTAAGTCCAAATTCTTAAACAATAATGATATATTCCTTTATAATGTGATGCTGTGGATTATGTGTTAGTAAATTAGTTATTATAAACTGAATCTTTATCCATGCTCTCTTTCTGATGCTAATGATGGACTCTTGATTTCAGATCAATAGGACATTGGAAATCCATTAACCAAAGAAAACTTCATGATAGCGAATTATTGGCTTTCAAAGCTTTCTCCGCCTAGTCAGTTCCACACATTTGATGATGTCGAGCTCAGATCCAGAAAGGGAATATGTAGAAGAATACTCAGAGATGGATAAAGTGGCAGAGCTTCAACAGGAGCACCTGGCGCAGCAGGTGGCTGCTGTGCAGGTATCTGAGGATCCCTCTTTAAGGTATGTTGGGACGGGATGCCAGAGCACTGGGGTCAAGGACTCAGACCAGTCTAAAGTTAAACGAGAGACTCACACCAATGGAATAAGTGAGGACAACACCAGAATCTACAAGAGTGTGAGCAGTGTGACAAAGAAGATAGCCTCACGGCCTAAACTCTCTAGCAGGAAGCTATCCCTTCAAGAACGTTCTTCGGGAAATGCTCTCTCAGCCAGTGGTGTCCTACCGAGCTACGGTGCCTATTCAACTGGGCCACTGCCTTCTGTAAGACGGCCAACTATTGAGTCCAGCCGGATAAATATGGTCAACTGCCAGGTGACTTGTTTATTAATTTATGGCAAAAGTGCTGTAAAAGCAAAACAATATCAAACATTGTTTTAAAAATCTTCAAAGTTTTATGAAATAGAATACTTGCCAGCATTTGTACCTCTCAGAACTGGTGGGCAAGGTGGTTTGAAGGGCAAAGAGTCAGGCAAGTTGGCACTGGGGAGATACCTACCCACTTCCTACCACCTCAGGAATTGAATTCAGGGCAGGAAGGCCCAGGACCATCTTTCCTGACTCAGAGTCATTCGAAGCTCTGAACTGGTCAATTGATGAACTAATGGCCTCTTCCTGACATGAGACCAATTAACTGTCTTCCTAGCAAGTGACAAAAGTAACTGCCTTCCCAACTAGTTATATGGAGTGGGAGGGGCCTCAATCTGTCCCGATTTGGGGCACGAATAAACATCAGAGGGGAGCTGGTGGAAAACCATCTGCCACTTGTAAAGCTTTTAGAAGTTTATAAAATTATGAGGGGTATAGATAAAGTGAATGACGGGTGTCTTTTCCCCAGGGTGGGGAATTTCAAGACTAGAGGGTATATTTTCAAGGTGAGAGGAGAAAGATTTAATAAAGGACATGCAGGGCAATTTTTTAATATAGAGGTTGGTTTGTGTGTGGAATGAACTTCCAGGGGAAGTGGTGAATGTGGGTACAGTTACAATGTTTAAAAGACATTTGGATAAGTACACGAATAAGAAATGTTTGGAAGGAATTGGGCCAAGTGCAGGCAGTGAGACTAGTTTAGTTTGGGATTATGTCCGGCATGGACTGGTTAGACTGAAGGATCTATTTCCATGCTGACTGACTCTATGACTCAAACCCCTCACTTTAACCATAAAAGGAAAAATTCTGGCCAGTTTTTAATTGGTAGGGAAATTCTTGTCTTTTGGGTTGAAGGAGCAAAGATGGTCCTTGCCATGGATGTAATTGGACAGTGTACATAGGGAGTTAGAAAATAATGTTGAGGTTGTGAGGAATATTTTTGCAATGGAGAAAATCGATTAGTCGGCCATTCTGGCCCTTGAGCCTGCTCTGTCATTCAACTAGACATAGCTGATTACATACCTAAATTTCTGCCATTTTCCCGCACTATCCTAAATCTCTTGATCTTTAGAAGACAGAAATCTATCCATCTCTGTCTTGAACATGCTTGCTGGCTGAGGCTACAAGCATTCTGGGAATAGATTCAACACAATAATACTGCTTTAAGTTTCGAGCTTTGCTGAGGATTTTTGCAGTGTGTTTATAGTAAGGTCACATATGAGTAATGGTTCAGCACTATTGGCAGTTCAGCGCCTAATGTCATTGTCAAATAATGTCCTGTCCACTGTTTAACACAAGTGCTAATTCATCCAACATAAAGGATAACACTGTTTCCAAAGTACTCAACAGATGAATTTCACAAACAGTGCTCAGGTGATCATTTTTTATTCCCAGTATGAGAGCAGTGAGGATATTTCTTTATTTTTCTGGTTGATTCATTTCCGCTGTTGGGTTTGACACCTTCTCCATTTTCCAGCCTCTTGCCTTGGGCTCCCAGTGCCACTCTCACCTACTGGTTGTGGCTGGGCATCCTTCCTGTCAAGTGGTTCAGCGCCTGCCGCCAGATCCATTTCTCCTCTTTGGGCCACGTGGATTTGACCCCCCAGCCTCCAGATCCCAGTATTCCTAGTGGCCTTCTTGAGGATGCCTGGCCTGTTGTTCCTGGCTGGGTTCCTGCTCTTGTTGCTCTTCCTAGCACTGGTGGTGATAATCGTCCTCTGATGCCAGTCCTGGGGTAACGGCAGGGCAGTTCAGACCCACCTGCTGCTGCTGATATTTGATCTTGAAGGAGCCTGAGGCCTTGGTAACTACTGTTCGGAGTAGCAAACCTCCCATCACCAGGTCCCAGACTGCTTGGTTCACCCACAAGTTGACTAGTGGCACATCATAGTCAGCGGCCAACGGTGTCTCCCAGGTCTTGGCCAGTGAAACTATTATATTGCTCCTGTTTATTACCAATTAGTCCTGAACTGGATGCACCAGGGTAGATTTTCTCTGAGGGGTGTTTGGGAAGATTGTCCTTATCAGGCTGCCAGCTGGTATCAGTGGGGAGCCCATTAGCCCAGAAATAAGAATTCTTTTCTGAATTCACTGCTGAATCCCACAATTTTTTTTTCAGAAATACATCGTCTGAATCACATTAATTTAGATTCTTCGAGCAGTTTCCAATCAATGTTAGATCATTTATTGTAAACATTCATTCTGAACACACTTGGACATTTCACAGCCTCACCCATAACGCAGTCATGTACAGCAGGCAGCTGCATGGTTTTTTTTAATATCCATCAGAGGATGAGAGCGTAGCTGGGTGGGCCAACATTTATTGCCCAGAGGGCAGTTAAGAGTCAACCACATTGCTGTGGGTCTGGAGTCACATGTAGGCCAGACCAGGTAAGGATGGCAGTTTTGTTCCCTAAAGGATATTAGTGAACCAGATGGTTTTTTCCCAACAACGGATTCACAATCATCAGCAGACTCTTAATTCCAGATTTTTTAAAATTCCAGTTCCACTATCAGCCATAGCAGGATTTGAGCCAAGGTCCCCAAAATATTACCTTGGTCTCTAGATTAAAAGTCCAGTGTAAAACCACTTGGCCATCACCTGCTCTAAGCATGGTGTGAACAACATGTAGCCTTATGGCAATGTGATACAGCCTCAAGAGGCCATATACAATATACAGTCTGACGGCTGCACATTAAACAATGTCACGGCCACATGACCAACAATATCGGCTAGTCTGCTTAAAGAATGGGGTGCCTGGGGGAGAAGTGGTTCCCATTTTAGAAGGAGGATGGAACCAGGTCAGTCCTGTTGAAGGGTCCAGACCCGAAACGTCGACTTTCCTGCTCCTCAGATGCTGTCTGACCTGCTGTCCTCCTCCAGCTTCACATTTTTCGAGTTTGACTTCCAGCATCTGCAGTCCTTTCTATCTTCTAGTCGCTAAAAACCATACTGCAAAGCCTCTTCAAAGATCCCCACCTTGAAGAAGAAGATGTCCTCCCTCCGAAGAGAGCCTAGTGGGTCTCTCTCCCATTGCACCCCCCTGGTTATCTCCTCTGCCCTGAAGCTCTTCGACAACATCCTGAAACAAATCCGCTACTTCAGTCACGTCTCCTTCCTCAGTACCTGCCTACACAGCCGGTTTATACCCCATGGACTCCAAACAATGTTCAGACCATCCCAATTTGGACCAAACCACAACAACCATTATTTACAGTACATCCAGAAATGTTTCTCCTTGCAGATCCTCAGCTCTATGCTCACAGGCATGCACTGACATCTTCTCTCATTACAGTCAGCCCTGCCTCAGCTCAGAGCCTCTCTCTCCAAGACCTACAAAGGACCTCTACTGTTCTTTATTCTTCGAAGGATCCACACTCTCAACAAATATATTTTCTCCACCCTATCGGACATCAAAGTTCGTAAGTATGCTAAACTCTCGTACTTACCTCCAAATACAGACCTTGAGTCCTGATGGAGGGTCCAGACCTGAAATGTCAACTTTCCTGCTCCTCAGATGCTGTCTGACCTGCTATGCTCCTCCAGCTCCACATTTTATCGACTATCTCTGGGACAGCTACTCGGATTGGGTTTTTTTGTGTGGAGTTCAGCCAACTGTTTCCTGCTTCCTCCCAAACTTTATTCACATGGCTAACTACTTACCAGACTACAAAGTCACATATTTAAACATGGGCAGCACAGCTGCCTCACAGCACCAGAGACTCGGGTTTAATTCCAGCCTTGGGTGGCTACCCGTGTGGAGTTTGCACATTCTCCCCTGAATCGAGAGTTTCCTCCAGGTATTTTGGCTTTCTCAGACAGTCCAAAGATGTGCAGGTTAAGTAGATGGGCAATAGTAAATGCGGTGTTACGGGGATCAGGTAGGGGGCTGGGTTTGGGTGGGATGCTTTTCGGAGGGTCGGTGCAGACTTGATGGGCTGAATGGCCTGTTTTCGCACTGTTGGGATTCTGTGATTCTACATTCAGCCAAATCTGACCTTTACAAACCAAGGTTACTTCTACCTCCCCTTTGGAGTTCAATTCTTTTGTCCACGTTTGAATCAAGGCTGTAATGAGGTCAGGAACTGTGTGACCCTGGTAGAATACAAGCTGAGCATCAGTGAGCAAGTGCTGTTTGAGATCATTGTTGGGAACACCTTCTATCACTTTATTGAGATTGAGAGTAAGCTGATTGGGTAGTAACTGACTCAATTGGATTTGTCCTGCTTTTTGTATATTGGCATTCTGTAAACATCATAGGGGTTAACTGAACTGGATTAATCACATAAATGTATGGCTACAAGAGCAAGTCAGAGGCTAGGAATCCTGGATGAGCAACTCATCTCCTGTCTCCCTAAAGCTTGTCCACTATCTATAAGGCACAAATCAGTAGTATGATGGACTACTCATGAGTTGTCTAGATAAGTGCAGCTCCAAAAACACTCAGGATGTTTGACACCATCTCACCATTTAGAGAGAAAGCAGAAACAGCGTACTGAGTTAGATGATCAGTCATAGTCATATTGAATGGTGGAGCAGGCTCGAAGGGCTAAATTGGTTACTCCTACTCCTATTTTTTATGCTTCATCTAGGACAAACAGCCTGTTTGATTGGACCACATCCACACCATTCACTCCCTTCATTGCTGATTCACTGTAGCAGCGGTGTGTACCATCTACAAGATGCACTGCAGAAATTCATAAGGCTCCTTAGATAGCTTTCCAAACTCTCAACCATTTCTGTCTAGGAGGAGAAGGCCAACAGAATACCACCAGGGTCCCGACCCAAAATGTCAACTTTCCTGTTCCTCTGATGCTATCTGGCTTGCTGTGTTTCTCCAGCTCCACACGGTGTTACCATCACCTGCAAGTTTCCCTTCAAGCTACTCACCATCCTGACTTGGAAATATATCACTGTTCACTGTGGCTGAATCAAAATCCTGGAA